GTGGTCGTACGCTAATTACCATGTTTCTCTTTTATTAGTGTAGATTTAGGTTTTCTGATTCTTCCTGATTGAGTTTTGGAAAATTGTATTTTTCTAGGAATATGTCCATTTCATCCAGGTTGTCCATTTTATTATAATAAAGTCATTTATAATATTTTTTCACAGTTCTTTTGTATTTCTCTGGAGTCAATTATTTTACCTCTTTCATTTCTGAAATTTTTTATTTTGGTCCTCTTTCTCTGTTTCCTGGTGAGTCTGGCTAGAGGTTCATCAATCTTGTTTATCCTTTCAAATAACCAGCTCCTGGTTTTATTGATCTTTTATATTTTTTTTTTTTTTGGTTTTTATGTCATTTATTTCCATTCTGATCTTTATTATTTTCTTCCTTCTATTTACTCTGGGTTTTTCTTGTTGCTCCCTTTCTAACTCTTTAAGTTGTAGAGTTAGAGAACTTATTACCAGATTTTCTTTTAAGTAGGCTTATAGTGGTATGAACTTCCCTCTCAGTACTGCTTTCACTGTGTCTATTGATTTTGGATTATTGTGTGTTCATTTTCATTAGTTTCCAGTTTTTATTTTCTTCTTTGATCTATTTGGTAACCCATTCATTGTTTAATAGCATGCTATTTAGCCTCCAGGTGTTTAGTTGTTTTGAGTATTTTTATTGTACTTGATTTCTAATTTTATGCCATTGTGATCTAAGATGTTTGATATGATTTCAATTTTCTTGAATTTGGAGAAAGGTTTCCTGTGACCCAATATGTGGTCTATCTTTGAAAATGTCCCATGTGCACTTGAGAACATATATCCCATAGGTTTGGGGTGAAATGTTCTGAAGATGTCAATTAGTTCCACCTAATCTAGAGTGTCACTTAGAATTGCTGTTTCCTTGTTGATATTTGTTTCTAGATGATTTATACAGTGATGTCAATGGGGTTTTGAAGTCCCCCACTATGATTGTATTGGGTTCTCCAGACCTTTTAAAAATATATTTGGACTCTCCTTTATTAGGTGCATTTTTGTTGACCAGAGTTATATACTTCTGTTAAATTGATCCCTTTAGTATTATGCAGTGGCCTTCCTTATCTCTTGTTATGGCCTTCACTTTGAAGTCTATTTTGTCAGATATAAGTATTGCTTCCACAGCTTTTTTTTTTCTTTCTCATTTCTATTTCCCTGAAAAAATTTTCTCATCTCTTCAGTTTCAGTCTGAGTCCTTTGTTCTGAGGTGGGTCTCTTGTATCCAGCATATTAATCGTTCATGTTTTATTAACCATTCAGCTACTCTATGTCTTTTGATTGGAGCATTTAATCCATTTACATTTAAGGTTATTATTCATAGGTACTTGTTTGTTGTCTTTTTTATTCTTAATGCTGTGTTTCTTCTTCCCTTTCCATTTCTTCTTTTTACAACAGTTCCTTCACCATTTCTTGCATTGCTGGTTTGGTGGTAATAAACTCGTTAGCCTTTTCTTGTGTGTGTGTGTGTGTGTGTGTGTGTGTGTGTGTGTGTGTGTGTCTATGAAGCTTCTGATTTCACTTTGAATTTTGAATAATAGCCTTTCTGGATAGAATATTCTTGGATTCAGTCCCTTGCTTTTCATCACTTTGTACACTTCATGCCACTCCCTTCTGACCTGAAGTGTTTCTATTGAGAAGTCAGCTGATAGTCTAATGGGAGATCCCTTATAGGTAACTTTCTGTCTCTCTTGCAGCCTTTAGAATTCTTTCTTTGTCTTTAATATTTGCCATTTTAATTATGATGTGTCTTGGTGTAGGTCTTTTTGGGTTCATCTTGATTGGGACTGCCTGTGAAGCTCAAAATGCATATTGTGGCAGGCTGTACTACCGAGGACAGGTGTGGTTTTTTTTTTTCATTTTTTTTTTCTTTACCTGCACTTTAGGTGTAGAGCAGCTAGCTCCTCCCAGGAAAAATGACCATTCTGTTTTAGATGCATATGGACACCCCCATGCAGGACTCTTGGCTACTGCTTTTCCAAGTCTCCCTGCATTGCCTCCTACCCTAGTGTATCCTTAGGCACCTTGAGTTCATGCCTCCCTCCCTGCACCAAAAACCTTGGGAGAGTAGTTGCAAATGAAAACTCCCATGCTCTTGGTTTAGATGAAAATGAAAAGCAAGAAAACTGTGGCTCTCTCCAACCAACTAAGCTCTGCTGCCTCTAGACTCTGCCACCAGCAGCATCCCTTCCACCTTTAGTAGCTGGTTGGATGTTATGTGCACTGCAGGTCATGCTGCAGGTTGCAGCTTTGTTGTTTGGGCCTGTGGAGCCCAGCCTGGGATCAGGCTTCTGTGTTCTGAGGGAAAAGACCCTCCCCATAGTGCAACACTCCCTGCTTTCTCTTGGCTCCCCTCCTCTTGTGACCTTGCACTTCCTAACAGTTTCCAAGTGTTTGCTATAAGTCACCTCAGCTTGACCTCAGCAGTAATTCCTGGCTATTGCTTTTCCATGTCTCCCTGCCTTGTGTTCCACCCCAGCCTCTCAGGCACCTCAATTCCTGTCCTCTCTCTCTGTACTGAAGCCTCATGTGAGTCATTGCAAAAGGGTTAGAGCCTGACTTCCAGGCCTCTATCTTCTGAGCATACAAACCTTCTCGTTACTCAGCATTCCTACCCCTCAGCCTAGTGGTCTGCCGCCCCTGGTGGATCTGCTCCTCTTCAGGTGTTTTCTGTACTTCCAGGTGAATGTTCTCCAATTTAGTTGTATTTCCAGTCTAGACCTTTGATGAGGTGCTAGACAAGTCTGCCTATTTGGCCACCATTTTCTCCTCCCTACAAAGTGCTTCTTCTGATATTTCCAGTGCCCTCCTGACACCATTACAATATTATTGACTGTATTCTCTATGCTATACTTTTCATTCCTGTGACTGTTTTGTAACTACCACTCCATAATTCTTAATTCCTTCTTCTTTACCAAGTCTCCCAATCCTTTCTGCTCTGGCAACTATGAATCCATTCTCTGTATCTGAGTCTGTTTCTATACTGTTTGCTCATTTATTTGTTCTTTAGATTCCACATACGAGTGATATCATATGGTATAAATACCATATGGATATCATATGGATAAATCTTTCTCTGAGAGATTTTATTTTACTTAGAATAACACATTGCTACAAATAGTAAGATTTCATTCTTTTCATGACCAAGTGATATTTCATTGTGTAAATATACCTCAGTTGTTTTTTAATTCACTTGTCTACTGATGGGCATATGGTTTGCTTCCATAGCGTGGGTATTGTAAATAATGCTCCAGCAATCATAGGGGGTGCATATATTTTTATGTATTAGTGTTTTGGTTTTCTTTGAACATATTACCCAAAAGCAAAATAGATGAGTCATAAGGCACTTTCCATTTTTAATTTTTTGAGAAAACTCCATACTTTCTTTCAGTGGCTACACTGGTCTGCATTCCAACCAACAGTGCACAAGGGTTCCCCTTTCTCCACATCCTCGCCAGCACTTGTGTTTGTTGATTTATGGATGATAGCTATTCTGACAGGTGTGAGGTGATATCTTATTGTGGTTCTATTTTACATATGTCGGATGATTAGTGATATTGAGCATGTTTATAGATGTTTATTGGCCACCTGTATGTTCTGCATGGTATAGGGAAGATATTTTAATCAACTGATCCACCAAGCAAGGCTGTCGCTGTCCATTCTGCCAGGGGCAAATATGTAGCAGTCTGTAAGTGACACAGAAAGCAAATTCGCCATGTGCAAACTCTGGCGTGTGCATCAATGCGAAGAGCAGGTGGTGACAGCCAGGAAAAGGCCAGAGGATTATATATACTTCAGAAGGGGGGTCAGGGAGGAGTTTGTATGGAGGGTGGTGGCCGGCAGTGGTGCTGGCGAAGGGAGGGGCGGAGCAGAGTGGGGTCAAGTGCAATCTCGCTCACTGATCGAAGTTCATGCGCAAAGAGCATCTTGTGCATGGCCAGCGCACCCAGCATAGCTGGTGCATCCTCCTTTCCACGAGGTGGCCCAAACCCCCTGTGGAGGAGACGCACCCCTTGAAACCAAGACTATGCCTGAAGGATCCAGATAAGGGACCTGGGGACATGCAGTGAGTGAGCTCCAAGCACTGCCACCTGCTTGTTGGCAGCTGCCCAGTTCAGGACCAGCGCCACCTGGGGGAGGGGGTTGGGGGGAGGGGGCGGGTCCTGCTGGGTCAGTAGACTGCGGATCTCGCCAGCACTTTGTGTCAGAAGTGTACCCGCAAGGGCCCTTCCGGTGAACACAGGAGCTTGTGTGTACCGGTGCAGGGCGGGGCGTGGCGGGGACCACGCAGGCCAGGGCAGGAGGGGTGGCGAGGTGACCTCCACGTTAAGCGTGACGCTGTGCAGAAACCGAGGCCCTAGGAGGCGAGGGCCCAGGTGCTGCTGGGGCGGAGCAGCTACTGGACGTGGACCTTCTCTCCCAGGTGGTGGAAGCTGAGGCTGGGGACAAAATGAGTGCTGCAGAGGAGGCGGAGTCCCAGGTAGAAGCAGAGGCGAAGCCTGAGGAGCAGCGAGCAGAGCCAGGGCCCAGTGGGACAAGCAGCCGGCCCATACTGGAGGCGCTGGCGGCCCTTCAGGTCCAGCTGAGCACTGAGAGTGCCCGAGCCAGCAGGGCCTATGTTCAGGTGAAGCGCAAGACCTCTCGGCGTAGAAAGCCCGTTCTTGAGTGCAGAAGGGCCATCATCCAGTGCATCCCCAACTTCTGGGCCCAAGCTGTATCCTTGCCTGAGCCCTTCTGGCTTCACTGCTGACAAAGACCACAGGGAGTAAGTGGAGGAGGAGCCAGGAGAAGGTGAAGGGGAGGAGGACAGAGGAAAGGGCCTCCCCTCCCCGGTGGCACAGCACTGGGCGAAGCGAGGGCCGGCTTCTAGGTGTCAGGCCAGGAAGTATGGGCACAACGTACCACGCCACAATCAGATAGTGGAAGGACACCTTTTCTGGGCGGTGGAAAGATCCTTGGAGGTAGTGTTTTTTGTTTCTTCCTTTTTGACCAAAAAGCTCAGTGTAAACACTCAGCTCGTTTTAGCCAGGTTTAAGCCGAATGCTTCCAGTGTCCTCTCTCAACACATCAGATGCCCATAGGAATTCCGGGCAGGCTTCCTCCCTCCTTCCACAGTCCCACACACAGGTAAACACAAAGGAGCAGAGGTACACACACACACACACACACACACACACACACACACCCTTTTATTGCAACTCTTGTGCAATAAAAGGCTTATTTCCAACCCGGAATGCAGCCTTTGTGACCCACACGGATCTCTAGAAGATCTGTGCTGCCACTGTCTCTGGAGACCATACATTCCGTGTCAGCGATCCCAGGGACAAGGCCAGAGTACATGCAGACACCCTGAGCCAGTGGTTCTCAACCTTCCTAATGCCACGACCCTTTAATACAGTTCCTCATGTTGTGGTGACCCCCAACCATAAAATCATTTTCGTTGCTACTTCATCACTGTAATGTTGCTACTGTTATGAATCGTAATGTAAATATCTGATAGGCAGGATGTATTTTCATTGTTCGCGACCCACAGGTTGAGAACCGCTGCCCTAAGCACTGCGTCATCTGCACAGGCACACAGAGGACAGGGAGGGCTCAGAACATGTCTGGAAATGGACCCTCCCATTGTTAGGGCAGGAGCTCAGGTGAACATGAACCCACAGGTAGCATTGTTGTGAGCATGTGTGAAGAAAGGTGGGCGGTGAGGAGGTTGGAACAGGGGCAATGTCTGCCATCCACGGCCAACTCTCATATGCCCCCAGGATGGCTCCGTGGCTTTTAGCTGCCCATTTCGTTTCACAGCCTCTGAGAGCTCCTTGACCAAAAGCAGATCCGGAACCACCCGCAGATATCAGCCATCATCAGTGACGAAGATGAAGACCTGCTGAACTACTTGATCAATGTGGAGGTCAGACTGGGAGGCAGAGTGGAGCCTGGGATGGGGGCTCGGGCACCCGGTGGGACGTGTCTGAGCAGAAAGAAGGGGAGGGGAGGTGGGTGATTCCTGCAAGCAGGCTCACTCCAGAAGCTGGCAGACAAGACACTTTACTTGGCAGGTGAAGGAAGTGAGCCTTCCCAAATACCGCTGCAGGTTGATGTTTTTCTTCCGGAGCAACCCCTACTTCCTGAACGAACTGATCATTAAGCAATATGATGTCAGCCTTGCAGGTGAGTGACAGTTCCCAGGATGGGTCTTTGGAAGAGCAGGCAAATGGTGGGTGGGTGAGGATATCGGGCCGATGGGAATCCAGCCTTCCAACTTCCTTCCTGCAGGGTACAGGGCCTCTAGTTCCACTCCAATCCTCTGGTTCTGGGATTATGAACATGGAGCCCCCAGCCGCCGGCAAGACACAAGCAGCGTCAGCTTCTTCAACTGGTTGTCTAAACATACCCTGCCCGGGTCAGGCAAGATTGCTGAGGTGATACTGCTCTGGCCACTGTCAGAAAATGTGGTGGTGGAAGCCCCACGTGCGTGAAAAGCAGACTAGCAGACTGGTCTGGTCCCCCTCTGCCCTGTGTTCCTTCCTAGATCATCAGCGAGGACCTGTGGCCCAATCCTCTGCAGTACTACCCCGCAGATGCAGGACCCAGAGGAGGGAGCGGCAGAGGGGACCTGTTGGAGAGAAGGAGCCCTCCTGCTGGGCATTAAAAGGTGAGTAGTTGCCCCTGTGAATCTCCTTAGAAAAGTAAATACGGAAAACCAGGCCTGGGTAAATTGGAGGTACCCTAGTGCACCCGGAATGTGTGTGAGAGCAGCTAAGGGAAACTGGGAGTCCTGGTGCCCACAGAATGTAAGCAGATGGGGGCGCTGTAAGCACCATGGCTTTCAGGATGACTGGCCTAGGGCCCTGGGCAACAAACGTGGTTCCTCATCATGTTTCTGCAATCCTGTTGTCGGTGCTTTTGCCACCCACTTGGGCCTCTTGCCACTCCAGCGGAGTCCTACCTTCCCAGGCCTTACCCGTTTTCAGTGCCTCTAATTCACGTTTCTTTCAGTTTTTATACCCACTGCTCAGTTCCCCTGAGCTGAGCCCACAATGTTGGCACTGGCAGCAGGATCTGGACGAGAATATTGAAGTCCTGGGGTAGGAAAATTAAACAAGCCAGGAAAAGGCAAGGTGTACTGACTGTGGACATGTGCTTCAGAGGGGCCCAACACACCTTCAGGCGCATGCCAGTGCCTGTGAGTGTGGGTGTGTGTGTATAGAAGGGGACACTCCAGATTCAGAGGAGATGGAGCAGAACATCAAATATGGCCCCGAAGGACAGAAACTATGCAGTGTGTGCCCACACACCAAGGTTGGCTGAGGGATTCTGTCCATTCCCTTTACACAGGAGGAAAAGAGGAGAAAAGGATCGCCTGCGGAAGAGTCAGAGAGCATATGCCACCTAACGTGAGTGTCACTGAAAGAACCATAAAGAAGCTTGCAAGGTGTTGCTGTCTCTGCGTTGTTGGTAGCGGGAACATGTAATAGTATTGGGCACAAGACCTCACAAGGGGCTGGGGAAGCAGCATCTCCTGCATTTGAGCCTGCCTGGAAAGAGGCTGGGCTACACAAGAGGAGACACCAGGCCTCGAAGGCCTTCTGATGTTGTTCCCTTCTTTCAGAATGTCTGGAGGAAGAGGGAAGAATGGCTGACTTCTGATGACAAGTCTTATAATTCGGCCAGCGCACAGGGACCTTGTACACTACAGGAGTGCAGGGGGCGGACTTTAGATCCCAACCCTTAGGCTCTCAACTCCCTTGCCTTGAGCGGTCACTCACATAGACATGCCGTGGTCAGACAGAAGACAGCTGACCTTTTCAAGATGGGCGCTGTCCTGTGAATTGGAAAGTTTACAGGTAGAGCCACCCTCCCTGTGTGGGAAGAAGTGAGCAGGAGCATGGGTCAGAGGAGTTAGATGCCAGGGAGGATGCTAAGGCCTGGGTATATGGAGGCAGGTGTGCACTACAGCACCCTGCATGGGTTGCACTTGGGAAAGGGAAAAGGTCAAAGCTGTGTCAGTAGACCAAAGCCTTCCTTGTACACAGGCAACCACATAAGCCAATCAGAACATTCTAGAGGAGAAGAAACCTCAACACAACAAAGTTTATCTTCATGTCAAGCAAGGGTGAAACGTGAAACCCATTCCCAAAGGAGGCAAGCACATGAATAAAACTTGCCTTTTGTTAAAGCGGGGGACTGGCGTGCCTTTCTCCATTCCAGTTTTCACACTTAATTTTTGGCGAGGATTTTGGTGTGTGAGGAATATGCAGAGGATATGATGGGATTGGGGGTGCTGGTGAGCACTGCACCTGGAGTCCAGACTTGCCCTTGATCTTGGTTCAATAGAACTCATGATGTGGCCACCATTCCATTCCTCTTTTGGTAGCAGGGCTGTAAATGCTGCAAAGGAATCAGCTGCTGACTGAGACCTGTTTGTACATATACTGCCTGGGTGACCAACCCATAGCTTCAATGTGTTTCCCCGGAAGAGAGAGTATTTCTTACTGCTACTCTCAAAGACTTGTGTACCTTCCCAGCCTTAGAGGAGACACAAGTTTCTCTGACACATGAGAAAACCATTGTAGAAAGGAGTGGGAACACAAAGTTCCAAATTCCACTTGGTCACGTGAATGGGTGCCTATGAAAGAGAATAGGTCTTTTATTTACTAAGTAACTTTTCAAAAGAAGAGTTTTCTTTATTTAAGGCATTTTTCTGGCTATAGCTCACTAAAACCCAAGGTGGAGAGGGGAGGAGCGAAGGAGAGACAGTGGTGAGTAGAGAAATGGGAGACAGAGGAAAGTAATGAACAGATTGAAAATGACAACCTAAACACAGTCAGAATGAGCCCCCTTTTTTTGGCCATTGTTCTTTTAAGCATTTAACTTTGCATGAATGGAGCCACAGGCCTTCCTGTGACCTGCAGTTTGGATCTCAGATATGTAATAGCCTGGGATAGATAGCCTCGACTGCCCAGGGCACATGTCCCTGTCTCTTACTAGGGGACTTTTGGGTCAATAGGAAAGTGATCAGAAAAGTAATTCAGTAGTATAAAATTCTGGTTAGTCTTCAATGAAAACAATAGGAGATGACCCCCACCTAAGGGCCTATGAGGTATTAGTGTTGGGCTCTCTGGGGACTCTTGGCCTGCAGTTGGGAAGCCGTTGCCAGTTGGGGAAAATGAGGGGTAGGGTTGTGTAGTTTGTTTCTTGCCTTCTCACTGATTGGAGGACATGTGCAAAGACCAGGTTGTGTGGCCAGCAAACTGCCCTTGCTCATAGCAACTTTTATACCACCTGCTGGTACTCCAAATCCCTGAGAGTATGTACCCAAACACAGTGTCACAATCAAGAATCCTGATCAGGATAGTGGCAGGTACATGAACAGTGGGCTCCACAGGTTATCAGACCAGATATTTTCTTTTCTAAAAAAATTTATTTCAGCCCTAACCGGTTTGGCTCAGTGGATAAAGCGTCAGCCTGTGGACTGAAGGGTCTCAGGTTCAATTCCGGCCAAGGGCATGTACCTTGGTTGTGGGCACATCCCCAGTAGGGGTTGTGCAGAAGGCAGCTGATCAATGTTTCTCTCTCTCATCGATGTTTCTAACTTTCTATCTCTCTCCCTTCCTCTCTGTAAAAAATCAATAAAATATATTTTTAAAAAATTGATTTCAGAGAGGAAGGGAGAGGGAGATAGAGATAGAAACATCAGTGATGAGAGAGAATCATCGATTGGCTACCTCTTGCACACCCTTGGGCATATACACTGACTGGGAATCGAACCTTGATTTCCTTGTTCATAGGTCGACACCCAACCACAGAGTCATGCCGTCCAGGCAGTCAATTACTTTCAACACTTGCTCTTTGGAATCTGGGCCACATGGCTCAGAACCTGGGTCACATGGCAAGTAGGCTGGGTCTAGGAAACTTCAGGGTTCTCCAGTTATTTGTGTTACCTTAGTTCTCAAGGGAACTTTAAGTAATAGAGGTCATCAGGATGCAGTAGTGGGTATAGGTCAAGACTGCCAAGAATGCTTTTAAGGACTTCATGTTGGAGGAAGTATAGGAAACTGAGACCCCAGAGGTGAGGGCACAGGTGATATTGAGGGCAGAGTTGTTGCTTGAGATGTAGGACCCTGCATAGGTTGTGGAAGTCAGATCAGGGATGAAGTGCTGGCAGAAGGAGAAGTGGTGGCCATTGAGGAGTTTTCTGGTTACCACAGAGGAAGTAGAGGAGCAGTGGGAGTAGGAGTAGGAGCTGAAATGGGAGTTGGTGGAGGAGGCAAATGGTTAAGGGCAGAAGGGATAGAACTGTGGGAGGAGAGTAGAAAGATTCTTGAGCTGTAGTTGGGAGGAGAAGGTAGTTGTGGAGGAGGATTGAGAAGAAGGTCAAGGAAAAAAAGGGGTGGTGCATTTGAAGGAAACAGTGGAGGAGGAGCCGGTGGATGGGAGGGGGTTGTGATAGAGCTGGAGGCTGTGAGGAAGGAGTTGGTGCTGGATGTAGAGTTTGTGCTGGAGGTGGAGGACTCTATGCAGGTAGTGGAAGTATCAGCAAAGGAAGAGGTGGTGGTGGAAAGGCAGGAATTTGTGCCATATCTAGAAGTGGGGAGGAGGTGGTGGCTGAAGAGCACTTGGTGGAGGAGAAGGAGTTTGGGGTAGAGCAGGGGCCCGAGAGTGAGGAGCATTGGGAAGTGGAGTAGATGGAGGGAGAAGTGGCAGCATCTGATGAGATTTTGGGGGAACTGGAGGTGGGGAGGGAGGAGGAAGTGGTGGCTGAAGAGCAGTTTGTGCAGGAAGAGGAGAGTGAGATGCAGCAGGGGTCTGAGGAGGAAGGGCTGGAGGGGGAGTTGGTGGTACAGGAGCAGTTTTTCGTGGAGGGTGAGTACCTCATGCAGGTAGTGGAAGTGGTAGCAGGGAATGAAGTGTTGGTGGCAGGGGAAGAAATCTTGTGGGAACTGGAAGTGTGGAGGGAGGTGGAAGTAATGGCTGGAGAGGAATTGGTGGTAGAGGAAAAGGATCATGAGATCCAGGAGGGGACATACGGGGAGCAGGAATGGGTGGACGAGGGGATGGAGAGGGAAGTGGCAATAGGAGAGGAGATTTTTTTGGAGCTGGAGGTGGGGATGGAAGAAGAGATGAATGCTGAGAAGGAGTTGGTGGAGAAGGAGGAACATGAAGTCCAGCAGGAGGAAGAAAGCAAGGAGCAGTGTAGGGAGGAAGAAGGCCTAGAGGGGGATGTGGTGGCAAAGGAGCAGTTTGTGAATGGAGAGGAGGGTGAGGTGCAGCAGGGGCCTGAGAGTGAGAACAGGGAAGACAAGGAGGTCCTGGAGGGGGAGTTGGGGGCACAGGAACAGTTTGTCCTGTGGCGGGAGGGCCTCATGCAGGTGGTGCGGGTGGTGCCAGGGCAGGGCATGTGGGCAGGGGAGGAGGTTTTCCCAGATCTGCAAGTGGGGAAGCAGGAGGAGGTGGTGGATGAAGAGCTGAGGGTGAAGGAACAGACTGAGGTCCTGCAAGGGCCTGACCACCAGGAGGAGGGATGGATGGAGGAGCAATTAATTGCAGGGGAGCAGTTTGTCCCCAAGGGGGAGGGGGAGAATGCCATGAAGGCAATGGAGCAGGTAGGCGAGGCAGAGCCACAGTCAGAGGCTGAAGCAAAGCCACAAGAAGAGAAGCCAGTGCAGCAGGAGCAGGCTCAGTCAGGATCTGGGGGCAGGTGCACCTGGTCACCATTGGAGGTGCTCCAGGCCCTTCAGTTGGAGATGGAGCCCGTGAATGAGCAAGCCAGCAGGGCCTTCTCTCGGCTCAGGCGCAGGACATGGCAGAGGCGCAAGCCCTATTTCGAACTGAGAAGCCTCAATATCGGGCACATTCCTGGGTTCTGGCCCACAGCTGTATCCTTGAGGGTAGAGGAGCGGGACCACAAGGTGCATGGGGCAGTGCAAGAGAAAGGTGTCAGTGGGGATGGTTTGGATAGAAAAGACACATTGAGGGCAAGCTCGGGGCAGTGCACCCCAGTCTGGCCCAGGATCCTGGAGACGCCCTCTGTCTTATACAGGCACCATAGAAGCGGTATCTGGGGGTCCAAGGGCAGAGCTCAGGCCGTCTGTATGTCCAGTTCCTCAGTCAGAGGCAGGAATGTGTGATGTGTAGCCTGTCAAGCCCTCAGCACAAAACAATCTGGTGGGCATCAGGGTCTGTCAGGAAACAGAGTGGCGCTGTGCCCCTTTCTGCCTTTTCTGGAGAAGGAGTGGCCTTAAGGGAAGGAGAGGCCAGGCCAGGCTGTACTTTCTAGCTGGTCCATGCCCAGCTCCCAGGGTGCAGGCTCCTTGACCCAAAGCAGTTTGTCAACCATCCGGAGTTGTCGGCCATGATCAGCGTCCAAGATGAAAACATGCTCGGCCACATGATCGATTTGAAGGTCAGTCCGCCTGCTCCAAGGAGCAGTGGAGGGCAGGTGGGGAAATGGCCTGTCCCTGAAAATGGCTACAGGCGGGAGCCCTGGGCTGCAACTTCACTCTCTGGATCTACTTTCCTTCTGCAGGTGAGGGAAGTTGGGTATCCCGGGGATTGCTGTACCATTAGCCTGTGCTTCCGCAGCAACCCCTACTTCCGCAATGATGTGATTGTGAAGGAGTATCTCATCACCCTCACAGGTAAGAGGAGGCTCCCTGCATGGGCTGCAGCTGGTGGTGGGCAGGGTGGGAAGGCGCTGTGCCCAGCTTCACATACCCGTCTCCTGCAGGATACAGGGCGTCCCGTGCCACTCCCATTCAGTGGTACCAGCATTATGAACGGGAGGCCTACAGCCGCAGGCACAATGACAGCACCTTTAACTTCTTCAACTGGTTCTCTGACCACAGCATGGCAGGATCTGGCAGGATTGCTGAGGTGGGACGTCACTGGTCATGCCAGCATACAGCTTCCTGTGTCTGCCTGATGCTTGGGTTTATATTCGGGTCCCTGTCCTCTCCTGACCCAGCCCTGTTTGCCCTACCAGATCATCAGCAAGGACCTGTGGCTCAATCCCCTGAAGTACTATGAGAGGACGATGGCCCCCAGTGAGCAGACAGGACGGGTGAGGAGGGGCTGCCTGGGCTCTCCCCCGGTGTGCTGCCAGGTTCCTGGGCCATTCCTTTTCTCTCACAGGGACACCTGGATGCTGGGAGGGATACAGCCTGGGACACCAGGTCCTCAGGGTGTGGGCGTGAGACAGGAACTACCAGCACAACAAGGGCAATGCAATTCCAGCTCAGGCAGGGGAGGCTTAGGCAGGAGGAGGGAGTGTGCATGTCCACTGTCACTCAGAATCAAAGATTCCTTGAGCCACTCCTCTGAACTCTCCTTCCAGGCCACCCACCACACACTCAGCACCCTCAGGCCTTGCCACCTGCCCCTCAACAGGGGCTGGCATGACATGTTCTTCCTGTACTCCTTTCCACAGGTGTCTGTGAATCTTCCTCATGCCGAGGCCTAGACTGCTGTGCCGCCACGCCAGGTTGCTCTATTGCTGCTCACCACCATCCCCTATTTCGCTAAGGTCTCCTCTTCCTCCCAGGGCCAGTGGGAGAGGCCTGCTCATTATCAGTAGGTTAGGGTGCAAACTGTCAGCCACAGAGCTGGAGGAATCCTTCGGGATCCCAGTTGCCACAGTCACCCCCTTTCCATGTTTGGGCCGGGAACAATTACTTAATACTCTTTAATAATGCTCAGAGAAGATACCCGACCCTATTGGTGTGTTTAGGGGAACTCCCAGAGTTGCTGAGGAGTATGAGGGACTGTCTGCTTTATTTCCAATGACAGTGGAGCACATGAGGTGCTTTTTTCAGATAAGCATGTCCTTTCAAGTAGACATGGTTTTCAGGCACAGGAAAGAAGCGAAGAAGGTCCCTGCAGCAAGGTACTCAGACATGGAGACACCCAGAGAATGCAATAACATAGACAGCAAAATAAAATAGCATCAAGTCTGCTTGCCTGCGTGTGGTTTGTGCATAGGTTGCGACTTTTCTATGGGCTCTCTGGAAATCACCAGTTCCTGTGAGGGCATGTCCGCCCTTGCAGTTGCAGAAGTGGGTATGTTATGCTTTGGGATTGCATGGGAAGCAAGAATTCCTCCTGTATGGTGGTGACTGGGGAGGAAGACGAAGTAAGAGAAGGTCCACTAACATGGACTGAGCTTTTTACTCAATGAGATAAGGAAATTCAAGGAAGGGCCCTGGGAGCAAGGTTCAGTGCTCTGGATGTCCGAGTATCCTCCCTGTGGGAAGACAGCTCGCACATTCAGATCAGGCAACCTGGAGGAAGTCTGAACATACATTTCACAGTTGAACCAATGCTTTCTATAGAGCTATGGCATATACACACCCTCAGTCACAGACATAAGCTTCTACACCAAGTTGTGTCGGACCATCTCTTAATATCATACAGACACCAATCCAGAACACTTTGCCTCAGGACATTCTGTAGTGTGTGGATTCCTGACCACATGTAGTAATTATTTTACAACAGAAGTTCGGTTGGCTTTGAGACTATGTATATTAAAGTTTAGGGCAATGAAACAAAAAAAAGGATTTGGTACAAAAGAAGCAACAGGGGAGGACATAAGCAGTTCTCTGCTATGTCTATCTAGAAATATTAGATGAAAAAAGTATGCTACTGGGGCTGCTTTTGCTCACTGGGAAGTGAAGGTCACAGTGACAGAGTGAGACATGGTGGGGCTGTTTTAGCTCACTGGGAAGTGAAGATCATAATGATAGAGTATAGAATATTGGGGCTGCTTTACCTCACTGGATGTGAAGGTCAGTATGACAGAGTGAGCCATGGTGGGGCTACATTAGCTTAATGGGAAGGTCAAAGTAACAGAGTGAAGCATGGTGGGGCTGCTTTAGCTCACTGTGACTTGAAGGTTACCATGGCAGAGTTGGCTAAGGCAGGAATGCCTTAGCTCACTGGGATGTGAAGGTCATTGTGACAGAGTGAGCCATGGTGGGGATGCTTTAGCTCACTCAGAATTGAAGGTCACTGTGATAGAAGTGAGTCATGCTGGGGCTGCTTTAGCACACTGAGAGTGTGGGTCATTGTGATAAATAATGCTTGGGGTGGCTGTTCAATTCACTGTGAAATGAAGGTCCTAGTGACAGTGTGAGCTATGGTGGGTCTGCTTTAGCTCACTAGGAAGTGAAGGTCACAGTGACACAGTGAGTCATGGGTGGGCTGCTGTAGCTCCTGGGAAATGCAGGTTACAGTGACAAAAGTGAGCGATGGTGGGGCTACTTCAGCTCACTTGAAGGTGAATATCACAGTTACAGAAGTGAGCCATAATGGGGATGCTTTAGCTCATTGGGAAGGGAAGGTCACAGTGACAGAAGTGAGCCGTGGTGGGACTGCATTAGTTCATTGGGAAGGGAAGTTCACAGCAACAGAGTGAGCCATGGTGAGGCTGCTTTAGCTCACTGGGGTGTGAAGGTCACAGTGACAGAAGTGAGCCATGGTGGGGATGCTTTAGCTCATTGGGAAGGGAAGGTCACAGTGACAGAGTGAGCCATGGTGGGGCTGTTTTAGCTCACTGGGGTGTGAAGGTCACAGTGACAGAAGTGAGCCATTGTGGGGCTGCATTAGCTCATTGGGAAGTGATGGTCACAGTTGCTTAAGTGAGTCATTTTGGGTTGCCTTAGCTCCTGGGAAGTGAAAGTAACAGTGACATAAGTAAGCTAAGGTGAAGCTACTTTTGCACACTTGGAAGTGAAGGTGATAGTGAAAGGGCATGTCATGGTGGGACTGCATTAGCTCACTGAGAAGTGAAGATCACAGTGGCAGAGTGAGCCATGGTTGGGCTGATTTAGCTCACCGGGATGTGAAGGTCACAGTGACACTAGTTAGCATGGCACTGCTGCTTTAGGTCACTGGGAAGTGATTGGCAGCTGCTCTCAGCTCCCTGGGAACTCAAAGATTGGGTCCTTGAAGATAGGATCATGGGGTAAGCCTTTGACTAGCTGCCATTGTCCTTTGCTCCCCTGTTCCAAATCTCATGGGAACCTTCAGAATTAAGGAGGAAGTAAAAAAGTCATGCTTGATAAGGGGCATGAGTGTACTCCAGAGCAAGACTGCACAGACTCATTGTCCTGATGGCTTTTTATTGTTTTGTGTTGTTTTCTGTAGACAAGAATATAAAAGATGTATATAAGCAGAATATTAATCAGCTTTTTAAGTGTCTTTTAACATGCTTATGCATCAAAATGAGTGTATGGGACAGTTTGAAATTATTCTTTGGTCTGTTTTGCTTCTGTCTTAGGTCTCTCTTGTTTTTATGTGTGTTTTTTTATTGTTCGTTCTCCAACTTCATCTGTCCTTGGATTTAGCTGGCACAAATGTCATTAAATGGGTTTTTATTCTCCACTTTCTCAGGCCAGAGTGATTTATGCTATGTATTCTGTGGTTAGGGAAGAGGGTATAAGCCATTTTTTTTCAAGTGTCCTTGGTTAGGCAAGATAAGGTCTTGTAATTCACAAGCTGGGTGTATTAGTAAGTTGACAAATTTTGTTGGCTTGTTTAATTTTCTTTTCTCAATTTTCCAATTCCACTTGCCCAGGTATTTTCTAAGCTTTTTACTATCTTGCCTCACTCTGACTCATGGTGTCAGTACACCTTGCCCTAATTTGACCTGTTTACTTTTCTTGACATCAATATGGTCTTCATGTGGACTCTGTTGTTCATCTATGAGGCTCTTTTTAGATATAAAGTGCACAGGGAAAGGTGAGTAGATCCTGGGGTGGGGTTGTTTAACCAGCAACATCCAGGTCACCCACCATGTATTAAACAGTTTCTTTGCTGACACTATGTTTAGTATTAATTTTAGATAGGCTTAAGCTCTTTGTCCCAGGCCCTCTATCAGTTGCACACTTCAACATGTAAACACCACCATAAGTAGTACCCTTTCTTTCTTTATTAAAAAAATATATTATAATTATTTCAAAGAGAAAGTGAGAGGTAGAGAGGTAGTTTAGGAACCATTTCAGGTCTTTGGATAGTCAAGGCCAAAGGGAGCACAGAGGCCTTGTAATTAATATAGTAGAATGGCCAAAGGCCTCTCTGAGCATGGGCCTAATTGGGATGTCCAAGGACTCTGAGCCTGGAAACCATAATCAGGCAAAGATACCAAGCCAGTGCAAAGACATAGGGTACACTGTGCCCTTCAGTAGCCAAAATGATTTATGTCACTGTTGGAAACAAGCCTTATTTGTCTCTTGAGTAGTATACAGGTTACTGACCAAAAGCATGAGAAGTCTACTAGAGAGAGCAGATGATCAGAGGCTAGAGAGAGCTCAGAGAAGAGAGTTGGTAGGCACAGAGAATGTAGCCCTTATGTGTGCAGGAGAGAGGAGAGCTCAGATGGAGCTGATACTGCTACGATGTAAGGTTAAGAGCTCACAGAGAACTCAGATATAGCTACCCTGTTAACCAGCCAGTGAGCTGAGCAGGGGAGATAGGAGAAGCTGCTGAGCCAGAGAGCTAAGAGAAGCTGCTGTCGCTGAAGCTCTAAGGGAGAGCTCAGGCACTGCTATGTAAAGCTAGGAGTCTAAGGAGCAGCATGCGGCTGCTCAGATAATAGCTGTGGGTACAGAGACTGATTCTGCTTTATGGGAAAGATATGTATTTACCAGCCAGTGTCCGGCTGCCTGCATATATGGAATTTGATGTATATGACTGGCTTTCTTGCCACTGGCTTCTGCAATAGTCACCTTATACACCCACAACCTCTCCTGGCTTCTCTGTCTGCTGTGCCACCAAGAATCGGCCTGCATCGCTCACACTGGTTGGACTAAGTTCCCAACAGTTAGTATAGTGGGCAGGGTTCAAAAGGACCTGCCCTGGTGTAGTCAAATGGGAGAATTTTGAAGAATATGAGGACTCATTTCCACTCAGAGAAGCAGATTCATGCAGTGCTCCTGCATGCTCTGATAAAAACATCAATGATGAGAGAGTATGATCAGCTGCCTCCTGCATGCCCTATTGAAGTGTGCCACTGTGGGATAGCAATTCAGAGAGATGATCTTTTTTATTGCTGTGTTCTTAGAGAATTCCATTTCTTATAGAAGACTGAGTATTTCCATTCCTGGCATGAACTATAATGGATGATTTATATTTCTTGAAAATTCTGTTGGGGAATGTCATTGACAATTTTTCTGTTGATGACCTCTTTTGGGACTATGAGAGATCTTTCCCTTCTGCCTCTTGCTGCATTATTGTGAGGTTTCCCTTTGTTAATTTTCACATTGCCTTTGACTCAGATCTTTTCCCAAAGCAAATCAAGAGTCAGGTGTCCTTCATTTATCACCTTTTGTCCCAAAGTGCCAGAAAGAACCTGTCCTAGGTGTCATGTCCCTGTTGGAGGGAAATTGCACAGATTAGAATCCTAACAAGGAGACATACACAGATTTCCTCCTAGCTTTGCAGCAGCTCAGCACAGTCTCTCAAGAA